GGGGGCGTAGCGGGCCTTAATACCCGTAATAAGGCTTATTTCAGGAAGTCTAGTCTCCTGCCGCCCTCCCCCTTACTCTGTAAGGGTCCCTGTGACGAACGACTGTAAGCAAAACTCCAAGTGCCTATACTCCTTAGTTTGCCTATTTGCCTACGTCTTTGCTACATCCATATACATATCAGATTGTCAGCAGCTAAATGCATGCCTGCATGTGTCCCTAAACCCTAAACCCTAAAGCGTGTGTGTGTGTGTGCGCGCGGCTAAAGGCCCATCAGGATGATACGTATAGGGTTTAGGCTTTTAGGGTTTAGGGTTTAGGGTTTGTAGCATGAGTCCAGCCTCACCGCGTTGCTGGCAATTCGTAAAGACACACAGCACGGAGTAACAAACAACACACCCAAACACTCTCTCACTCGCTCCCTATGTACATATATACACACCCATAGATTACGAAGGTCCTGTAGATGATATGACACAGCAAGATAGCACATCACGCATGATGATGCAGTGCATGTAGGTGTAGAGATCGATCTCAGCAAAAGAGACGAAACCGTTCGATGTCAGCAGCACGACGATGATGACAATGTTCACCATCGTCGTCATCATCATCGGCATAATCATCATCGTCGTCACCGTCATCATCATCATCATCATCGCCACCATCATCACCATCATCATCATCATCACCATCGCCACCATCATCATCATCATCATCATCATCTTCATCATCATCATGATCATCATCATCATCGTCATCATCATAGTCATCTTCATCTTCATCTTCATCTTCATCTTCATATTGATAAACATCTTCTTCTGTATCTTCATTAGCATCATAATCGTCATTGCCATGATTCTCATTATCAGCATCATCATCATCATCATCAACATCATCATCATCAGCTGTGCTAGCACCTGCATCACCGTAAAACAAAGCGAAATACTGCAGAGGGCCACCAGTCGCGCATCGGAATCGTGACGCCACCACCAGAGGTCCTGCCTCTTGTGGCCTACTACAGGGGCCTTAGTGATTACTTATACTATTTTGGGAATAGAATAGTCTATTTTACCCCCCAAACCCTATTCTAGTTATTACGGCCCCTAGGCGCCAAGTTTCTGGATGCATGTATGTATGTCTGTATGTATATAAAGCTTATACACAGACAGACGGAAAGCCGAAGCTCAACACCACAACAGTAAAACCCTAGGTGACCCAAAAAACTCTCAAAAGCCAGTAGCACGAAAATTCAGCAGGAGCGGAGTGTCAGACAGAAGAGGTCTGCTTTATCGGAGGGGATGATTCCGGCTGCTTGACAGACCTTAGCGGAACTTCCGCCGATGGATAAGGATTTCCGCGTTTGGTTAGGCATTTTGTCTGTTGTACTTTGTGCAACGCTCTTGTAGGGCTCCACAGAGCTCTGAGCCATGTGCAATATTGCCCACTTCTATTCAGTTGTGTTCATATTCAAAAAGCCCGAAGCCATGTCGACTTGTCAAAGGCCCTGAGTTTGGTGGTTTCAGTTCAGTCTTCTTCTTAACCTAAGCTGGCTAAATCCTAAGTTGTCTTTCTAGGGCTGAGGATTTAGGGCCGTGGCCTCCTTACTATAATTATAGTATTATCGGCCCCAAAGCCCTATTCTAATTATTAAGACCCCTACATTACTGCTTTTGTCTCAGAGCCGCTGTGGCCCTTGCCCGTTCGATGAGACGCTTCAAAGCTGTAACCTACACGTGCTGCTACGACGATTGCTATTGCCATTGCCATTACTCAATAAGCTGTTACTTTCTCCATGATGAACATAAGCTTTGTCTTTTTTGGGTGCTTTTCGATTACAGCGCACCCTTCTTCGGAGTTGCAGTTTCTACGGATGTGGGTTTCCGATTTAAGGTTTAGCGTCCGGGGTTTAGGCTAAGTGAGGGGTTTAGTTCGCCATGCACTGCAGGGCCTGAGGTAGTAAACAGCGAACCTAGCTACAGTCTCCATAGTCGTTACTTTTCTTTGTTTTTATTTAGGATTCTACAAGGTAACCCAAAACAGGAACTACATAAATGAGACTATAGGTAGTCAGAACCTATACAACAAGCGCGTTAATCGTAAGCAGTGAGTTTTAAACTTCACACCGTATCTGGAAGCCCGATGCTCAGCGGCATGAGCTAGCTTAATGCAATCTTATGAACCTTAACCGACCCTTGAACACCAAATGCCCCACCTTTTTAAGGACCTTTATCAGGAATCATAACAAGGAGCCCGAAGGGTCAAGGTAGACCCGAAACCGCAAATCCCAAAACTTCAGAAATGCCTGACCAAGGCTCATGCACTCCGCTGACGACAACGCTAACAGTGACCTCGATGACGTCTACCGTGGCATGGCCTACTGGGGATTAGGTATCAAGGTGTATGGGGTCAGTGTAGTGTAGAAACCCTAAATACTATTAACACTCGATAATCAAAACGCCCTAAATTAGCCCCAAGCCAGAAAACCCTACACTCTAAAACTCTATCTTAACCCTAAGCCCTGAATCCTAAAACCCACATGCCTTTAAATTCGAAGCCATAAAAAGCCTCATTAAACCCAAACCCTAAACTCTAGGCCTTACATCCTGGTTGTTGCCCCACGAGTCGAGTCTGTCTCGGGCTTTCTTGGGTTGGTTTCAAGCGTTTACGGAGAAGCCCTAAGCACTTGGGGTTTAGGGTTTAGGGTTTGGGGTTTCGGGTTTCGGGTTTAGGGTTTAGGGGGTCTAGGGTCGGCGATCAGCAAGGATCCCAACACAAGACGACCTTCCCAATGCCACGTACACCTTCGGGGAGAACTGGTGCATTGCTCGGGTTACTTACCCTATTGCATAGCCCAACACAAGTATACAGTATATACACTACCTGACCCGAAAAAACATATAATGTTTCGAGGGACCTATATAAGGAACACATGGTACGAAGCCGCGCAAAACATGGTTTCTGACATTATCAAATGCAACAGAATCGTGCACTAGGCTGCATGAGGTCTGGGAGTACACCCAATTGGGGATGAGGGCGGAGGATTCTCAACCTCAGCTGGTGCAAGGCATTGATAATTTTGTGCTTTACCCTAAACCTAGACCCAAGCCCGAATGCTAAATCCCAAAATCCTAAACTCTAACCCCTAAACCCTAAAACCCTAAAACCCAAAACCCCAAAAATCCCAAACCCTATCCGTAGGCCTCTGAGTCCCAGGTTCTGCAGCCCTAGCCTAGGGGCCTTCGGGGCTTCAGGGCTTGGTGGGTTGGATACGAGGGTTTAGGGTTTAGGGTGTAATATAGGGGCCTTAATGAATAGAATATATTCAGCTATTAAAACCCTGTTTGAGGGTTTTTGGTTTCAGAGTTTAGGGTTTTGAGGGATTCTTTGCAGCTTTTGGGGGGGGTTCGGGTTTAGAGTGTCGGGCGCTGGGCTTCTGATTCTCGGCCCGAAAAACCCTCGCGCTGAGTCTACATCGTCCAGCAGCTCTAGCAGCTCCAACACGCACACAACTAGCTCGACCACTGGGACAGCCGCCGGTGAGTGAGGGCATTAGGGTTTAGGGTCTAGGGTTTAGGGTTTAGGGTTTAGGGTATGTAGCAAGTTTCTCATACAATATTTGCACAAGTCAGACCCTGCCGATTTGATTCTTCAGGCCACTAAATGCCAAGGACTTGCTGAGAGTTTGTCGACGCTTAGTGGCACTACAAATTAAAGGAGACTAGAGTCTAGAGGTCCTATACTTGGAGGTTCATGGGTAGTTATACATGGGGTTATAAGTCCCCCAATATGGGTTATAAGTACAGTTATCCTACTTATAACCTTACTTATAACTACCCATGAACCTCCAAGTAGGTATTGTGGAGGCTCGGGGTTCCCTAGACCCCGAACCCTGTTTAGGATTCAGAGTCCGGACGGCATGCAGGACCCAAACCCGCAGCTCCACAACCACACTCACCACCACGAGCGGCTCGGGCACCATTGAAAGCGGCTTAGGGTTTGGGTTTCGCTGGCGGTCTATAGGCTGTATAAGGCGGGGCGAGTTTGGATTGTTCATGGTAAGGCCAAACCGTAACCTCCTAACCGCCCTGCCCTCAAGAAGGCTTCCATATCGCAGGTTTCCCGGGTGCTTCTCCATCGAGAGCCATCGCTTTTTCAATCCTGATAGTTCCGGCCATGAACATAGGGTACAGCAAGAGTTGGCGGTCGTTGTCGTCGTCGTCGTCGTCGTCATAGCAGTAGTAGTCGTCGTCGTCGTCGTTGTCGTCGTCATGGCAGCAGTAGCAGTAGTAGTAGTAGTAGTAGTAGTAGTAGTAGTAGTAGTCGTGGTGGTGGTGGTGGTAGTAGTAGTAGTAGTAGGCGCCGCCCCCCTACCAACTACACCTGCTTAAAACCATCTCAAGAGCACATCCGTCTTATTCGGTATTTACAGCACTTTCGTCATGTACGATCATCATAAGAGGCCTCAAAATCCACTTGCCGAGTTTGTTAACTCGTCCCCATTTTGGACTTGCTGCGGGAGGGGGGGTGGGGGGGTGGGGGGGGATGATGACGACAGTGTTATGCAAACACAACCAACAATAGCACCACAAGAGCCGTTTTACTCGGTATTTACAGTACTTTCGCGATGTCCTACTTTCTTATATAGTTGCCACTCCTACTTCTGGACTGTGCGTCTTAAACTTTGCTGTCTCGAACGAAAAGCAGAAAAAACTCG